CTTGTGTCGTGTTTTGGCCGCAGTCAAAGGGCATGCATCTCATGGTGGTCATACGATGGGACCTCGCTACTCGCTTATGGGATCCATTTTCACTGGCATAAAACAGGCGATCTTCTCGGTTTTAAGCCCCTGAAAAGGGCATCTAAACGTCGTGGGTCTGAATACGGAACCGATGTGATGAAGCTTAGGAGCCAAATCCGGGCAGAACGGAAAGAGACAACAGAAACGATGTAAGCAGAAAGGGCGTGAAAATGAGTTCAATGATATTAATAGCTATTGATTAAACAGTAACGAACAGCGTGATTAATTCATGTGCCTAAGCTTGCTAGCAGTTACCCTATAACGATGAATAAGAAAGAAGCGGTAACAGAAAGCGTTGATCTCAAAATCATTTGGTAAACGATTGTGTAGGCAGTTTGAACATCTCGCCATACGGTACGGACTTCGACAGGTACGGTAACTGTGTGAGGGTGTGTGCAAGGCGATAGAGAGATCTATGGAGATCATGAAGCACCGGACTAGCAGACAACGGTTTTTGGGCACACTACTGAAATGTGAAGAATTAGTGGAGGAATGCGATAGGCACAAATCTCAAGAGACGTACCCGTCAGAATGTAGTCGGTCAGTAGTGTAGGCACTACGGAGCTGTCGTCGTTAATCGCTCTTAGAACTGAAATATGAACATTTACTTTGCGAAATGTCAGAAACGTCATCAAAGCCATGACCACTAGAAAATTTCAATGGACGTTTCCTTTCCAAGCACCTGATCCGTAAGCCCGATGTCAGACTTTGCGAATCGCGCGATTCGCTAGCGCTCAATTGGCTGGTACCGCAACGCGACCGCGGACGCTAGCGAATCGCGCGAATCGCTAGTAGCGAATCGCGCGATTCGAAATACATACTGAGCGTCTCGTTACGGTACAAATTCCGGCAAATACGGTAACTATGTGAGAATAGCTGGTCCGACTAGCAGCGGTGGATTGTCCATAAGAAATGAAGTAGTAACAATAAGGATAATGAAATGGGAGGTAGGACTAGTCCATGGGCTACGGCGCTTATTCGACTTCCATCCAGGACCACCGGACAAATACATTATAAGCCTTTTTTTTTGACACCACTTCTAAGCCACCGTAAAGGGTTGAAGGCAGGGTAAACCGCGTGAGCGATGGCACTGATTTGTCAAGAATTTCCGCGACCGAGCGACGCCCCGTTTTCCTGTCGGGGGTCTGACGACGCAACGTTGTTCTCCTACTGGCCGACATGTCACCGTCGGCGCATCAATGGCTGTTGTCTACAGTATTTAATTCCGAGATCAGTCGACACAGCCTAACTCCGTCCACTTTCTCCTCCGACACGAGCGTCGAGCGGGGGGAGGGGGTGTATCAGTCCAATGACACACCCACCTATCCTATCCCACCGTAAGCGCCAATTGCATCATCCACAAAATCCCCCTGAATGGACTCCTATAATCGCCAACAAAGATCCAGACCCCTCGTTTCGAATAGGCGAACGCCACGTTGACCTCGTTGAAAGGCCTGCGCTCAGCTCCGAGTGGAGTGTTGACCGTGTGGACCGTGGCGATGCGGCACTTCTGGCTACTACGCTGCTCGTCGCTTCGCTCAAACAAAGATCGGTAACTGGGCAATAACTACCCAAGCATTCTCTTGAGTAAAAATGAGAAAAGAGCCAGAGCTCAGGTAGTGAATATAAAAGGATTTAGCATTAAATGAAGCTTCACTCTTTATCAAGATGAAGCGTAGCGTTATCCATGTGCTGATGGTCGTTATACGGAATACTTGCAGTCATGAATTGAGGAAGTTGGTGTGGATCTATTTTGGTCTGAAACAGCGTGGATTCCGTTGATTCCGATGTGGCGATTTGCTTAATATTTGTTAGGTTTTTGATAAACTCAATTAAATCAAGAATTACAAGATTTGTGCCCAACCAACTCACCCCTTTCCTCTTTCGCTCGTTGATAAATTGACGGCGTTTATTCTGAATTGAGAGCAACAATGAAATGAAAGTGTTCTTCATTTCTTTTTCGTATTCCAATTCATCCCTAAAAAAAAGTCGAATACAGTGAAATAGGATAAAATTCTTGAAATAAAGTTCTGGAATATTATGATTGGTTTGAGAGTCAGTGAGTCGCGCTAAGGTGAGCATTGCATTTATTCACGTTATTTATCACCGCTTCTTATGAGTTTTGATTTTTTCCATAACATTAAAAAACCCATTCTCAAGCACCTTCCAAGCCTTCACAGCAAGTTTGGCCCAAGTTATTTTCTGGATGGAAGCAAGATTTCAACAGATCCTCCCACAAGATGAGAAACGGTTACCAGCTCACTGCATGAAACCTGCCCAAAACACCAAATCGAGTAGGCTACGATTACCCCGCCCTCAGCACCAGCTCACCCATTGCGACGGAAGCGAGTACAACTGGCCTCACAAAGTGTCGGGGAAGAAAGGAAGTCTTATTCGCACTGAGAATGAGTAACATTTTGAATTTTTTTTGCAGAGACCCTAGCGAAACCCTAGCTATCTTCCTTACCTGTGAGCAAGCTCGTCAACGAGGCTTTCGTTGTAAACTTGGATGAGCTGCTCCATCTCAGCGTTCAGCGTCACCAGTTTTGAGTACGATAACTCGTTCAGATCTGAAAGGGAACGATGAGTAATGATGCCAAATACGGGCAAAAATGACCAGGCAAAGCTTTGTCACAGAAAACTAAGGTTTGTGCTGATATGGTATAGGCAGTAAAACTACAATAACCGTTCATATTGGGACAAATCTTCGTTAAAACTAAAGATCAAAAAAAGCCAGCATGACCGGCAGATGCGATCCAATTCAGCTGGTTTTCTTCTTCGGTTCTTTCGATGATTTGTCTTAGCCCAGGAAATCTGGCCGGTACTGCTCTTTTCCATCCCATCCCTAGAAAAAATTCGAGCAAACTTCAAATATACATGCATGTTTCATAGTTTATAGATATTGACTAATTGGTTATGACAAGTTTGGATAGCTCTGAAGCTATTCAAAAAGTCATTCCGCCTGAAAAGGGCTCTAAAGGGCAACATTCGCTGTGCAATGGACGATGAGAACCATCTGGGAAAACCTGTCAAATTTTGTGTAAGGGCACATCAGCAAAAAACTATGCACTGAAGCCTGCCTTCCGACAAAGATGCTGGGGAAGTGCTTTACTTCCCTGAACTGACAGAGAATCCAAGTCTCATTGAAATATCCAAGAGACTATGGCAGGGGAATTTGGGGCCAATTCTCCAATACTGAACTTTACGTCAGCCGTAAAAACAACGAAATCTGAGTTGAGACCATATTCAAAGAGTAACAGTGGATAACGGCGTTGAATGTCCCAAACGCATGTGGGTCTTGAATCTTGTAGCTCTGTCAGAGGAATGACCAAGACTTGTCTAGAACTGATCGCTTTCTTAGCGTGCGGGTCAGGTCGGTGTGGCTTTAAGCTGCACGTTCTTCCCTTGTTTTTTTGTTATACCCCCTGTCCTTGTTTGTACAGTGAGAACTTTGGCCGTAGAGGAGGAGAAGGAGTAAGGATAGGAGGGCAGATGATACTGTAAAAACGACGACAGAGTTTGCAAAAGACGTGTGGACCAAGCAGAACTGGCGGCTATTGCAGAGTCTGATGTCTGGGACTAGAACAACGAAAAAGTCGAAGAACTCTTTGTCAAGTTAGCGAGAGCATAGGTCCCAAAATTATCGTCATGAGCAGGGGTTTTTTTGAGTAATTAATAAAAAATAGCGAGTGAAATTTCTGCTAATTTTCCTATCTTTCACTCAAATGCAACTCATTGTCAGAGACAGTGGAATGCAGAAAGTATCCGCCACTATTAGTCGCGATCCCCTTTCCCCTCACTATTGAACGAGGAAGACTCGACTCGTTTCATATTGGCCTTGTGGAAAAACATGGTGCATGGTTGATGAGACGTGAAAGATGAATGGAGGGAAAGACGAACGGGAAGACCTGGCAAGAAGTGGTGAGATCTCACTAGACCTACAAGGGCAAAATCTAGCCGAGAAAAGAAGAAACAATGGCCATCTTTCTTAAGCATAGATGAAATGAGATTGATATTGCTCAAAAAATAAATCATAGCAGTAACCGAGATTAACACATTGACGACAGCCCGTTGTGTGTGTAACTCGATAGCTTTTTGTTTGTTTAATTTAGAATTGTCATTATCTTCAATAATTCCACTACTGGTAATTATGCACAGTTTTCGGATAAGATAATGCATACAGGCAGTTTTGAAATATGAAAATGCCATAAAATCGAACAAACGAGCCTCATCCGCGTGAAAAATTGACGCGCATGCGCGTCATAGTGTTTTCAATGTATTAATCGTGGGCATTCTCACGTCCATACTATATCTGAATATGTTTTATTTGGCCATCCCTACTAACAGTCTAGTGGGCTTTCACTAAAATTACGGGTATTCACAGAAAGGTATCAACGAAGCATGGAGCAGTGTGAAGCGGCTTCTGATAAGCTATTCAAAGGAACGGAAGGGTAGGGCAACCAGGTTGCCAGAAAGTCTAATTTGACTGTGGTTCTCAAGGTGTGGCGCTAATTCCATCAATTCTCCCAAAGCCTCTACGTCTGCAGGAAGAATTGAGGAATTGTGAAGCTCTTAGAGGCTCAAGTTCATAAGCGATCATAAAAAAGGTTAGGCCCACCCGCTTTGAATCGCAGGCAAGTAAAAGTCTGACGGTAAATTCAGAACAGCTGGTGCTGTACCCTCAACAATAACCATATATCTGGCTTTATTGATCTAGTCCTCCTGGTTCCAAGCCAAAGACACCACCAACCATATAGGCGAAGCTGTTCGGCATCTTTGTAGGTGTGTCTCAACAGCCTTTATGAGGCATGACAGATATCCTAGCACTAATGTTGATATTAGACAGCCGCTCCTACAGGCTGTCGCGATTCTGACTAGCATTCGAATTGTTGCGTGCAATAGGAATCATGGATCCGTCGAAAAAAAGAAAGAATGCCAACAGTGCAAGTGCTAAAACCACACACTGCACTATCACTCCTACGACTACTCCACCCACTAAACCAACACGAACACCGTTCTCTACCGTCGCAACATATTCACGAGAAATCCATTAAAATGTCGTGAACACATTGCGGCGAGTATGACTGACATTGCCTTTTCTACAGAGTACGGTAGATGCGGTACGGTAGAAAAAACAAGTTCAACGAGCAACGAAACACAATACAATTAGAATGAACGATTACCGGCTACAGAATCATTGGTGGCTTCTGTAAGATGAAAATGTTCGATTTTGTTACAGAGACTTTCGTTCAGCGTAGTATCACTAATTCCTATACCATAAAAGCTCAACCTTATGAATATAAATTTTGAAAGTAAAAGTAAACTTTTGCGTTGAAAAACAAAACCGATATCAACCAATCAGGGCACGACGAAATGCTCTTCGTGGGCGGAGGCATATCGATGGTTATTTATTTCTCAACTTGAATAATTTTGACCCACGGCTAATCATCATGTCTTACAGTTTGGATCCCAGAAAAACGGCATGACTCACAGCAGCACCACATGTGAAAACAGATGAATAATGAGCTTGGAAGGAATTGTTCCCACCGGATATTTTGGTCTTGATCGAACGCATGGCGCATACGAAAAGTTGACTGCGGGGCATCATTTTTACCCAAGAGAATGATTGAAAATTTTCGGTGAAACTTTACTTCACAATTTAAAACAAAGTATGCGGCGGAAGTTATACATGAAATTGTTTTTGAGGAGAGCCGCAAACCGTATGCAAGGTCTTGTTCCGAATCCGCGCGTGTCTTTAGGCCAGAATAAAGAAGGCCTAAAATAAAGTTCAGAAGAAGCGCTATAATGTTTCGTCGTAAGTTCAACGACGAAGCACCATGAAAGTTCATCTTAGAATAGCCAAAAATGTTCTCAAAAACACACGCCTCTTTCCGAATAGCGCTTTCTGAGCGCTATTCGAATAGCGATCAGCACTTGGCTACAAGATTCACGCTGGGATTGTCTTTTGGTCCAATTATAAGCTGCATGATTGACTGGATTCGTTGGTACTTTCAGGATTGGCGGCAAGTGCTTGTGCCTGGCGCAGTTTCATGTCAGCATCACTGGAATGTCCCGAAGGTAGAGGTGATCGCATTGATGAGTACATGCTGTCGACGCGATCGTCGCATGTTCTGAGTCCGTCTCAATTTGAACCGGTAAAATCGGCATGACTGAAAAATATTTTGTACTGAAACCCCCGCTTACTTCTCACTAATTCCCTACTATTCACGTTATTTAGTTCTTATTAGCATTTTACATCACATTTCTGCGGCGCCTTCAACTGGGAAACAACTGAAAGGAAGACTCCTGAAACTTCAATCACCAGCATAGAAAATTTTCCGAATTCTACTAGGATGGAGCTGTGTTCCCGAAAAATAGCTTCACCTTATCGGCGGCGGCAGAATATTTGTATCGATTCTCTCCAGGTTGTAACCTCTGATTTTATCGGCGCAGGCTTTAGGCTATGCTTAAGCCTAACCTTAGGCCTCAGTCATCACGCAGCTCTAATCGCCTAATCTGTCGGGAAGAACTGAATGTCTCCAACGGCTGCTTGCCTGCAAACCAACACCCACATTCGCTAGCTCCGTCCATCAACAAAGATACAAGTTTTTTTTACTGAAAAGCTATCATTCCTCGTTTTATACTGCACTGAATTTCCGATGTGACATCCATGCCTCTCCAAAGAAACGCTATGAAAAATACGGAAAAGCAATTTCTAGGAGCTTGTTTGATGGGCTTTTCATTGCACTGGCCCAGTAGTCCTCTTGTTTCTTACTCCTGAATACGTGTTTACACCGCAATCAAAAATCTCCACAGCGAAGGCTTACAAGTATAACTAACAAGGCCGCAGCGGTCACCTTGAGACACTTCCCCGCAAACCAACTCCCACATTGCAAACTCCGCCCATCTTAGAGAACCCATCTAATGGCATGTTCATCAGGAAGAAAGCGCTAAAAACATGTTTTACTGCGCAGAACTTCGACATGGCCTGTGGGTCTGCCTAGAAATGCCCCGAAAAAAAACCTTTGGTGCTTATTAGAATTATTTGTCCAAACCGAATCTCCCGCCTAGAAAAAAAATCTGGGCATTGGAGTTGCGAAGCGCGACGGAGCTCATCGCATGGTTCCCTAATCATGCTACCGTAGCGAAAACAGCTAGCAATTATTCATGCATAGCGAAATGTCCCAGTGAACGCGTTGTGTTGTTTACGCGTGCACCGATCTCGAACTCTCGTACGTAAAACATATCAATGANNATCGAAGTCGGCACCATTGTCAGAATCACTGTGACAGGAATCTATGTGACAGTTGTTTGTTTATGGCTGATGAGGAAAGGGAAGTGCTAGCAGCTGCGTTTCACCCTTTCGGAATCAACTGTGTGCTGCCGTGGAAGTCATTTTTATGAAATGAGTATTTTATCTATAGGAAAAGAACTGGATGTGAGTAGGTAGGGCATAACAGATAATGAAAAGGAAGGTCAGGATAGGATTTATATAATGATCTCTTCCAGATGTGCGTGCAAACTCTCAGATTTTCCCACCGCAATAGTTGACCCTGCTGCCCACCTACTATACAGGGGTGGCCAAAAAAAGAGACACTTCACTCCACATTTCAGACAGCATTAATCACACTTTGCTAGAATCAAATCGACTGCCCCAACTTAGTATTGAAGAGCACATTCTATCTATCTAAACCTTACATGACAGCCTTCTACACCGACGACATCAGAAGATTTTCCCACGGAAACGTGGTTCGCGGTATAGCCAACGGGGTCGACGAGGTACCATAGACCATTACGACGTCCGTGAAATGCTGGTCAAAAGCGGTTTTGCATAGTCACAGCTAATGTCTCTCTAGGAAGCTATTCACAGTTAATCATTGAAGAAATTATGTAGCAGCTTCAGGCCGGAGCGATTACGGTAAGCCTCGTTGAGCTCGACGGTGGCGGCAGATGACGTCATATTCTGAAGACGGCGGGGCAGTGAAGGAGGGCCTGCTTCTGTTTACGGGGGAACACCTAAGGAATATTCGCCGTAAAACTTTCATTAACATCGGCACCCTGTGCGACGAAAAGTTCGATGATGTGCGCCATGGGCAAAGTGTCTCTTTTTTTTGGCCACCCCTGTATATCTATATATGAAGAAACAACATCAAGTTGGCCTAGGTTGCCCAGTGGACCATTCTTTCTCGTACACGGCAACGGGTAACCTACGCTTTTATGAATAACTCAAAAGTGATGGCTAATCGCTAACCAAAAACCGACCTTCTTTAGCCAAAAACTTTCAGATAAGTCGCCCTACCTGTAGCATTTCATCGATCTCCTCGATTACTTGATCAGCGGTCTGTGGTGGTGAATCGCCGCTGATGGAACCATGCGAGACCAGCTGATGCATATCCATTCGGGCTCTTAGGTCTTCCTCATCCGACAAAGACACGCCACCATCGTCACTTAGCTGAAATCAAACCGTTTAGGCTCAAGTAAAGGAGAAATAGGTAGGGAAATGGGCAAGGAATGAGAATGAAATGAGCAAGGAGGAACAAGAGTGTTCGGCATAGCGCTTCAGCTGTCGAAATGTTTATGGAAGAAGACCGAGGAAAATTGACCATTTTGGGGCATACATGAACGAAAACAAAACATGGCAGGGCAATAACTGTCTCTTTTTCAAAGACAAAAGGAATTTACATTTAATAAATAGGACTAGCGTGACTCTTGAAACATAAACATAGAAGTATTGTAGATCATTTTCACTTATGGTCTAAAATGGATGAAATACATATATTGGGAATTCTGCTCCCAGAAAATAAATACTGAAATTATGCAAAAGTACGGTAACCGGAGTTCGTGATATCTTCTGTGGTTTCACAGTAGTAAAGTAGAAGAGCCCATCGCCAGCGTTGTCATTTAGGCATCTAAATGTTCTTGTGAGAACGGCAAGCCAACCTCCCTTCCAATCACCCGATCCTTCATTTGGCCAGATTTGTTAAGATAGAAATTGGCCCCTTGAAGCCGAAAGGAAAGACAAGAAAAGCCCTCCGCGACGACAAATTGGCGTCTTTAGCAGGGCGACTAACTGCGAAGTA